CCCAGAGTGGTCTTGAACTCCTGGGCTCAAGCGATCCATACGGCTCACATTTTTATGCCTCTTCCGCCTCAGTCAGAAAGCCGGGACATAGGGCTCGCCTAGTCTGTTTTCTTTCTCTTGGCAACCACAGTTCTTCACTGGTTGCTGTCCCCCATCTGAAAACAACGGATTTCATATATCTGGCCCAGTTTCTAGCTGTTTATGGTGAGACAGTAATTCTGAACCCTGTTATTCCCTCATGGCCATATTGATATTGAGTGACTTCACATTTTGTTAAGACAAATATGCATGTTAAATTTTTTAGAGTAACTAGAATATAAATAGGATGTACTAGTAGAGGAAAATAGCAAATAATGAAGGCAAATATCCACTAATCAAAAAAAAAAAAGTCAAATAAGGGAAATAAAGAAACAGAAACATTGGAATAAGTAGGAAGTATAACATAATATGTTAAAAATAGATCCAAAAAGCGTTAAGCAGTCCTGCCCTTCCAGACCTTTCTGGTCCTATCCTTTAGATGCATCTCTTGTAAACAGCTTAGAGCAGGATTTTAAAAAATCCTAACTGGATAATTTAATCTACTTATTTTGCTTAATGCTTAATGTGAGGAAATAACAGCGTTCAGAATTACTGTCTCACCATAAACAGCTAGAAACTGGGCCAAATATATGAAATCCGTTGTTTTCAGATGGGGGACAGCAACCAGTGAAGGACTGTGGCTCCCGAGAGAAAGAAAACAGACTAGGCGAGCCCTATGTCCCGGCTTTCTGACTGAGACGGAAGAGGCATAAAAATGTGAGCCATCATGAGAAGAAAAATCACCCAATAGAAACTGACCCAGGAGAGTTTCTGTTTCTGGTCCAGCGTGTCAGGAGGCCAGAAGTCATCAGTCTGTCCTAAGAACAAGTAAAAGTGGAACACACTTAAAATCAACAACTCCTCTTAGATTTATCAGGGAATTGAAGTCACCGGGCTAACTGCTGCTCCCAAAACTGGCGAGACGGGCGGGCTGGCATAGGAATACCTGAACTGCAGTCGCTGAATTGCTGGAGACTCAGTGCGGACAAGTCTGAGAGTTAAAATTCCGGGGTGGGGGCAGTCTTAGCGGGGCTCCTATACTGTTGTAAGTTTTACTTCAGGAGCTCAACCAGGTTCTCACAGTGAGAAAAATCTCATCATGCTTCTGGCAGGGGGAGGGAAAGGTGGCCATTTTGAAATATGCCCAGAGTATTCTGTTCTTAACTAGGCCTGCCCTCAAGACTAACCCTTACCAGACCCAACCTATTAGGGTTTTGCCAGAGCCTAACTGACCTAAGGGAACGGAAGGGAAGGGAAAGGAAGGGAAGGGAAGGGAAGGGGAGGGAAGGGGAGGGGAGGGGAGGGGAGGGGAGGTGAGGGGAGGGGACGGGAATACCCAACTCAGCCTCTTGTAGCCATCCTGGCCCACCCAAGTAGGGTACAATCTGAGAAGCATTGGTGAAATTCACAGTCTAGGGACATAGGCACGCCCAAAGATGCAAACCTAATTACAGGACTGAACGCTTTTCCTCCCTCCATATACTGCCATATCACTCGGGTCCATTTGCAGCAGGTCCTTTTGCCCAGTATGTTTCCAGCTTGTGACAAAGAAAAAAAAAAGAGACAAGACATACTAAAGGCCAAAAAACACAGTTCAAAAAGGTAGAGCCAGTACCAGAAGCAGACTCAGCTATGACAGGGGTGTTGGAATGATCAGATCAGAAGTTTAAAATATATATGATTAAAATGCTAAGGGCTCTAATAGAAATAGGAGACAATATGCAAGAACATGGCCACAGTTAGCTGGAAGGGAGGATGGGAAATAAAGTTTCTAGCTGTCAAGCCATATACACTATTAACCTTTGGACATTTTATTTCTTAAAAGGAGAAGCTGAGAATGGATAGTGGGGGACACTTAGCAATCTCTTCCACAGTGTCTTTCATCAGTTTTGGAACATTCTCAGACATTGTTTATTAAAATATTTTATCTTCCCTATTCTCCTTTCTCTTCTAGAAATTCAACTAGATATACGTGTGACCTATCGTATTGTCTCTCTGTGCTGCATTCTGGGTAATTTCCTTAAATTCATCTTCCAGTTCACTATTGTTTTCTTCAGCTATGTTTAATATGCTGTTTAAACTTTAAAGGTCCAATTTTGATTATCATATTTTCAATTTCTAGCAATTCTTTTTGGTTTTCTTTCAAGCATGCCTAGTCATTTTATATTCTCTCTTTTTTTTTTTTTT